CCGGGTCCCCGAGGGGCCCCCAGGCACGCACAGCGGACGCGGAGGGGGAAACTGAGGCCGGGCGGCCGGGGCGGGGAGGAGGTGTGGTCGGGCGGGCCCTGCGGGAGAGGCGTTACAGGCCACGCGCTGCGCTCGCGCTCCGGGGACGCGGAGACTCGGATTCCCGCGTCGTGCCCCGCCCCGCCGCCGCCTCCCTGGGCTTCGGTGCCCGCCGCTGCACAGGTGCCCGCGCCCGCGCCCGCTCTCGGTCTCGTCCCGGTTTCCGAGAGGGCAGAGACTGTGACCCCCGGGAGGTCAGCGGCTTCCCTGACGCCTGGTAACTGCTCAGGAGGACGGTGAGGGTTTAGAAGGCATGAGCCCGGCTTCCTAGGACCCCCTCCTTCTGCCCTCTCTCTCCCTTTTCTGTTGCCGTTGAGCCTGCCCGACTGAGGAAGGAACACTGCTAATCCGCAGATGCCTCTGCCGCAGAAACGGAGGCACCGTCCTGCACAGGGAATTATCTTCTTGACAAGGGGGAGGGGAGTTTTAATTGTTAAAATCCCCACCCTGCCCTTTTTTTCCAGAGGGAGTGTTCTGCGAAGTTCAGGTTGGCCTTGAATTTACAATGTGCCCCAGGCTGGCCTGAAACTCCCAGGGACCCTCCTGCTTCAGCCTCCCAAGTGCTGGGATTACAGGCATGTGCCACCATGCTTGGCTAAAATCCCACTTTAATATGTGTATGTATACATTTTTCCCAGGAGCTTATTGAAGTACATGTTCCTTCCCACTCCCCAAATTTGGAGTCAGTCTTAGTGGCGTGAATGGGAACTGTACTTTGAACAAACGTCTCGGGTCATCTGCTGTGCCCACACTTGGAGAAACACTGATTGCATTTCTCATGTCCTCCAGGGAAAGGGACCCTGAGGATAAATGTGGCCCCAGACCTAAGCCCAGGTGTTCCAGCAGCAGCTGGTAGGAGCCAAGTTCCACCCAAGTTCTGGAATTTGGAAGAAGAAAAGCTTGAATGCTAAGAGCAAAGGATGATTGGCCGGGAGTCTCAGCTGTGCGTGGGAAAGTGCCGGAAGGTTTCCGAGGCTGGCAGGGGGCTCTGACCGGGTGTGAAGACCCGGGAGGGGAGGGAGGTCGCCTGCTCGTCTGCAGACCTCGCAGCAAAGCCACAGCAGCTGACCGTGTGTCCCGCCCTGTGCCCAGGTGCGTTCCAGTATTTCATCCCTGCCAGAGTCCCACGAAGCAGGCACTCCTGTCTTCCCCTCTCCGCACGTGGGGAAACTGAGGCTCGGGAGTACGTAACTGCTAAGATCACACTAGCAGCAAAGGGTGGAATCGGGGCTGAAACCCAAGTTGTGTGGCTCCTCTGAGCCCCGTGCTCCACCGCGGGGCTCTGACGCGTTGGGCTCACCCTTCTCATCTGGGTGGGGCAGGTCCTTCCCTCTCAGGGTTCTGAGGTGCAGAATGGGGGGCAGAGTTGCCGCTCAGTGGGTGTCTCATCCAGGCTGAGGCCCACAGGAGCCAAGGGACTGAGAAGTACGCCCTTCACGGTGCGTCTTGGGGGCAGTCATGTCAGCCCCCGGTGCGCCTCCACCCTCCCTAGTCAGTTGGACAGTCAGCAAGAGGGTTAGATAAGCAGTGATAACACTGGCTGACGTGCACCAGGCCCTGCTCTTGACACTTTATGTATCCATTTGATGATGGAGCTGTCACAACAACGCTGCAGACAGGTGAGAGGTACGACTGGTGTCCCATCTCACGGATGAGGCAGCTGAGACTCACAGGTGGAAGGACTTGCCCGAGGTCCATGAGGAGCGATGCGTGAGTGGGTCTATCCAGGTGCTTCTGAGTCGTGTGCTTTGCCGTGCTGCAGTGCTCCTAACCCTCCTGAGCGCTCCTGCAGAGTGGGCCCTGGCTCCGGGGTAGGAGAGGGACAGGCAGAAGCCCTTCACACCGTCTCTGCACGCAGCAGGCCCTGGCCGGGGCCTGGAACTCCTTGACCCCTGCACTCTTCGGGCAGGTGGCAGGCCTCTCACAGGACAGTCAAGGACGGAGGACGGGCAGGAGCTTGTTGGAGCTCAGCTTTGGCTCCGGACTGTGTGTGTCCCGCCGCGGCCTCTTTGCTGAGCACCATGCACGTGGAGCCCATAGCTTCCTGGACTCCCGCGGGAGCTGTAAATTCCACGTGTCCCAAACGCCCTCCCTGCCCTGAAGCCCCTGCTTCTAACCGGACTCGATTGCTGGGTCCCTCCTCCCCCCGCAGCTGCCGCCGCCCCACGCTGATGTCTCCCAGCACTGACTGTGCACAGTGGCTTCACAGACACCTTCTTACCACCGGACAGCTCTTACTTGCAGGTGAGGAAACTGATGCACAGAGAGGTAAAGTAACCTGCCCAAGTCGCACAGCTAGTGAATGGTAGCGCCAGGCGCGTGCAGTCTGACTGCAGCCTGCGTTGGTAAGCCCTGTGCTGTAACCACCCCTCCCTCAGCTCGCTTGCCTTCCCTGTCCTTCCCCGGCAGTGCGGCAGCCTTTCGTCCTCCGGCAGCCTTTACTGTAGGTGCAGGAGCTGGGCTATAGGACCGGGCAGCAGACACTGTCCTAACGCTTCGGGGCACACAGCCAGGCGGTTCCCTTTTACGTCCCTAACACGTGCATCAGACTGGGTCTCCCTGCCCAGTGCAGCGCCTGGCATAGGCTGGTTTCGTAATCATGGGTGGAAATAAAGTGAAAGGGTGCTGTGAAAGTCCGCCAACGCCTGCCACGCGCCTCGTGCAGGGCGGCTTGGAGGAGGAGGGCAGTTCTCCAGGTTCTTTTTTTGGACATTAGGGATTGACCCAGGGCCTTTGCACCGAGCCACACTGGACCACGAAGCTGCCGGGCTGGGCTGCGACGCAGTCCTCTCGCCGCTCTCCCGGAGCGCCGGGATTACACGCGCAGCGGCACACGCAGCCCTCCGGGCATCCTCAAGGTGTTGGCTTGCACCTCCCTCCCTCCTTCCGCTTCCTGTGTCCCCCTCTGGTGTCCTCTGCCCTGTGCTGAGACTCATCCGAGGTGGAGGGGTTGGAGGCTTTAACTACTTGGCCTCCAGCAGGGCTACAGAAAGGCAATCGCCAGGGCCCCTCAGCTTCTTCCTTGGTCACGGCTGGTGAGTGACGGGGAGCGGCTGGGGCGAGAACGCAGGTGACCTCACCTGGACTCAACCTCTGGCTGTGCGGCCGTGCCCCCCTCCACCCCCTCGTGGTGGTTCCAGTCCATTTCTCCCATCTCCTCCCCTCCCCATTCCGGGGAGCAGGTGCAGAGATCCGGAGCGTTTATGGGCGTCAGGCCAGACCTTCCTGGGCCAACAGGGCGCAGCTGGGCACTCACAAGCTGCCCAGGACAGTGATGGGCGGCAGAGGGGCTGGGCTCCTGCCTTCTCTCGGCGGGAGGGGGGAGCTGGGACGCAGGCAGGGCTGGGGATGGGTGGGGAGCTTGCTGAGGGAGGAGTGGGGACCCCACCCTTCCTGAAGGCACATTCTCCTGGCTGTTGTGTGCCCATCACGGGACACAGCGTGGTGGCAAAGGCGGTGGTCAGTATATGGGAGCGGGGAGACGGGGTCTAGAAGTGTCCCTACAGCAGGGGCCAGGCCTGTGTCCCAGAGACCGGTGCTCTGTGAATGTGCAGAAGTCAGTCACTGCTTCCGCTGCCCAGCTTCTGTGTGTGTGTGTGTGTGTGTGTGTGTGTGTGTGTGTGTGTGTGTACACGCATGCGCAGGAGACACCGGCCCTGACCAGTGCTCTGAAATGGCTGCTTTGCTCCCGTTTGAATCACTGTTTCTCAGACTCCCCTGCCCCTCCGTCCTGTCCTCCTGTCCCCTCAGTCCCAGCCTCGCCCAGAGCCCACCTGCCTCCTCCTGCTTCCCTCGCCTCCACACCCAAGCCTCTCCCAACCCTCCACTCCGGTGTCCTCGGACCCTGCACCCTCCGGCCTGCTCTCAGCCGCAGGAGCTTGTGGGTGGAGTCCCCCGCGGGGCCCTGGCCCTGTCACAAGTTGCCGGCTTCCCTCTGCAGGCCAGGTGGGTGGCTCAGGCTCTACCCAGAGAACCGGCTGGGCTGGAGGTGGTGGCAAGTGGGTAACCAGGCAGTCAGGCGGGAAGAGGGGCCCCTTCCCAGCTTCAGAGCAGATCCCAGCCCCGTCTCCAAATCCCACTCCGGAAGTGCTAGGGCCGGAGGGGAAGCTGTGTAGTCCAAAGACTTCCTGGCACCAGACCCGCTGCCCATTTCCTCCCTCTGGAGAGACCTGGTGGGGACCAGGGGATGGTGCAAAGAGCAGAAGCCGGGCAGGGAAATAAGAAGGGTTTCCAGAGAGGGAAGCAGAAATGGGTGTCTACGGTCCAGACACAGGCTGCCCCGTGCTCAGGCCTCCCAGCCAGGGCTGCTGGAATCTCTTCCTGCTCTTCAGCGCTGTCCTCCTCAGGCCTTGCCTCCGGGGAGGTGGACACTTTGGGCTGTGTGCGCCGCTGAAAGCCTGTGGGGCCAGGCCGAGTTCAGGTCTGATCTTCCCCGACACGTAGGGCAGCGCAGGCTCAGCCTCCTGGAGCTCAGTGCAGCGGCCCACGGGGCCTGGGCGGCAGCTCCTCCCCACACGGCCCAGCCTGTGCCACCGGCCCCCGCCACCGCCCAGGGCCCGTTCCCCGGCCACACCTGGCCCTCCTGCCGCAGAGATGCGGTGTTTGCGCGTGACTCCGGAGAATGCAGCGGCCGGTGGGCTGGAACTGGCTCTGCGCCCTGCGGGATCCAGGCCTTGCCCACAGAAGCCTGCAGGTCAGGTTTCCTGAATTACACAGGTCTCTACCCAAAGAGCCGTCTCACCTTGCTCAGATTTCCCCAGACCCTCAGGCCTCCCCCAGACCCACCTTCCCTCAGGCGCCTCTCCCCACTTCCTGGCTTATCTCTGCCACCAGCGCAGCTGATTGCTGGTCCGATTGCTGCTACCTCCCGTCCTCCGCCAGAAGTCTCATCAGATGCAGCCTTGGAACCGCCTTCCAGCGCCAGTTTCGGGTCCCCGCGGTGGACACAGCCTCAGGGATGCCTTATGTCTAGCCTTTTCCCGTTACCCAGTGTGCAGACCGCCGGACTCCAGGGGAATCCGCCGTACTGAGGAAGCCTTTGGTCAAAAAGCCCATGCCCCTGTTCCCACCCAAAGGTGAAAATTCATGAACCTGGCTGCCGGACTTGGCCCTTTAGGAAGAGTTAATGCCCCCGCCCCCGCCCCCACCCCAGCGCACGGCCTGCTTTTCCCCACCCCTGAACAGCTTTCAAGGGCTCGTCCAAATGAATCTCCCAGAGGGTCCCTAGGCTCAAGTCCTCGCCGAGGTGACTGCGGGCTTTACTGCTCCCGGCTTCCTCACCCAGGAGCGGGCAAGCCGGAGAACGGCAGTGCCCTTCCTAGCATCCCAGCATCCTCTCACACACCATCGTGCCCGCCCCGCGGTCCCCTGGGCCATCAGTGCAGGCAGAGGAAGCGGCAGCCAGGAGCCAGGCCCCGGGTCTCACTTTGCCTTGGGAAGCAAAGAGATCTGCCAGGAGCAGCACACAGCCCTGGGGAAGATCCCTGGATCGAGGCCCTTCCTGAGGCTTCCAGAGCTGGGGTGTCTGGTGACGGGGGCTCCCTCACAGCGGTCGTTTCTGCCCATTTCCTGCCCTTGTCCACAAGTCCAGAGGAAGGTGCAACTGCAGGAGGGCAGGGCAGAGGGCGGGAAGGGAGGGGAACGCACCTCTGCGCCAGGCGAAGCCTTGGGCTGCCAGAGCCAGGCTCCTCAGCTTTGGATTCCACACGGGCTGGGGAGGACAAGGGGACCCAGTGAGCTCTGAGGAGATCCCTGTGGAACTCACCAGCTATATTTATGCACAGAAGTTTTTAACACAGTCTTACAGAGTTGAGTGCAAAGGCACAGCTTGGGACAGGCTGCCCCCTAGCGCCAGGAGGGACAAATTCTCTATGGACGCCCAGCCCTTCTTTTATTTATTGCAAAGGTACTTTCTGAGTTACAACTTAGGCCCTGATGTTACCCTTGGCATGGGAATACAGAAGTCCTAAGGCCATGGGGAGGACCGGCCTTCATGGTTTTCTCTCCGAGGGGCTTCTTGGATGTGGGACTTTTAGAGATAAACATAAGACAGCCTCGTGGGTAGGTGCTGCGGAGGAAAGCAGCGAGGGACCCCCTCTGCACGGGGTGAGGGCTGGCCGGTCCGGGAAGGGCCCGAGGGCTCACTGGGATGATGAGAACCAGTCTGATGCGCAGAGAAGAGCGTTCTGGAAGAAAAGCACACAGACCCTGGCAGCAGCGAGTGTGGCACCTTCGAGAAGCAGAAAGAAGCCAGCATGTGTGCAGCGAGGTAAGCAGAGGAAGTTGGCGAGACCCTGACCAGGGTGCCCTGAAAGCCCTGGGATGCCTCCAGGGACGGCTGCGGGCAGTGCCCTGTTAGGGCTGTTACTTTTAAAAGATCACGGCAGCTGCTGCGGGGGAAGGGGTCGGAGGGGAAGGAACGGTCAGAGGAGGACCAGTTAGCAAGCTGCTGGGGGCAGGCAGATGGTGGGGCTGAGGCCGGGTGAGAGTAGCAGTGGGGAGGACAGGGAAGGTCCGAGTGGGTGTGTTGGGGACTGTACGCGGCAGGGTGAAGGAGGGGAGGGCGCGGGGATGACACCTGGGTGTGGGTCTGAGGTCACATAGGACGTGGCCCCAGGGACACCACTGTGTGGATGATGCAGAGGTGAGGGAGCCCTGACAAGCCCAATAAAAACCTGCTAGATGGCAGCTCCGTGGGTGTGTTCCTGACTGTGGAGAAGACATGTCTGGAATGTGCCCGGTGGAGGAGGAGTTTCTCAGGAGGCAGGGTGTCCACCGATGGGAGTGACCAGCCGTTCAGGCCCGGTTCAAAGGTAACTTCCGCGGGATGAATGGCTCAGACAGTTTTTCCTGATAGAATCTGTTTAAAAGACTTGCAGTGGAATGAGAGAGAGTACATTAGGATGATAAGGTTGGCTGTAACGAACAGCCCCCAGATCTCAGCAGCCTGGCACAGTGAAGGTCCACTCCTCCCTCGGGCGCAAGCCCATCGACAGGCGTAGACAGGCAGCTCTGCTCCACTCACTCGTGCAAGGCGCCCAGCCTCTGTCTGTCACGTGGCCCTGGCACCCTCAGCGTCTGGCCTCTGAGATCATCAGCTAAGGGAAGGACGGGTGTCAGGTGTATGGGAGATTGTAAGATCCCAGCCTGGAAATGCACACGTTGCTGCTGCTTTCATCGCTCAGAACTCAAACCCATGGTGTTAGTTCACCCGCAGGGGACTCGGGGAGTGCAGTAACTCAGTATGTCCTGCTCCCAGAAGACAGCACGCACAGGTGTTGGTGAGCAGGAGTGGCGTCTGCCTGCGGCAGAGGCTGGCTGTCTGTCTTGCACTGTGCGGGGTACCTGTCCCGGGTGGGGATGGCTGTGTGCGCTCGACGGTACTGTGGGGGGAGGAAGCTGACGGTGCGCACCTGCCTGCCCGGCAGCTCCATGGTGCTTAGCTCTTCCCCATCCCCAGGGCCTTTCTCCAGATAAGATCTTAATTGTCCGCACCTTACCACTGGAAATAGTCTGTGGACACTCTCTCCCATACGATTTTCTTTTATTTTCTTTTATTTTTTTATTTTATTTTTTTGGTTTTTCTCCGGTACCGGGAACCGAACTCACGACCTTGCGCTTGCCAGGCAGGCGCTTTTGCCGCTGAGCTAAATCCCCAGCCCCTCCCATACGATTTTCTTTCCCCATCAAAGCTAACCTGGATGTCACAGTCTGTCTAATCTTCCTAGGATGGCTTATCTTGCACTGCCTTGCTCAGTGATATAAGGACGAGCAAGTTCAACAACAGCATTAATAATTTGTTGATCTGTTGTGCTGAGCGCTTGAACTCCAATGTCTAGCTTAACTTATCTCAATCTTTATGGCAAGCTTGAGATAGCGGCATTCCCTTCAGGCAGATGGAGCAACAGGGGTCCTGAGAGGTCAGGGAGTACTGACACCTTAGCCACTCAGCCACAAGCAGCTATTGAGGTGAATTAAAATCAAATGCAATTAAAAATGCAGCTCCCCTGTCACACCAGCCAGCTACGGGGCGCTCACAGTCACAGGTGACTGGCGGTCATCCCGGCGAGGGCACAGACACGGATTATGTCCTTCGCAGCAGACTTCACCGGGCAGCTTGTGAGTTAGGGGAACATGCCAGGGTCACACAGTAAATGCAAAAGCTGGGCCTTTGGCCCCATCTGGGTGTCAGGCTCTTCAATAGCTCCTTATTCATTCCGCAATTTAAAAAAAAGCTTCAGCGTGGCCTTGATTTCCTCGTACAACCTGGGCCCAAGCTACTGGTGATAATGCTCTCACTCTGACACACCAAGTGTGCTCCCCACGCCCCAGTACTCCTGGAGTGCGTGCTCACGGTGTTTGTGCTGTCCTCCTTTCTGTCAGCCCAGCCGATGACCCCCTACCCGACCTTCAGAGTCCACTGACTTCAGTACGTCTGGAAGGAGTTTCCTCTTTCCTTCCCCCGCCGTCCTTGTCGTCCTTGCCTTCTACTGCAGCTAGGTGTGCTTTCTAGGCTCTGCCGAGCACAGTACTAGGGTGTCCTGGGTCTCAGCACCGACTCCTCATCACAGCTCTTTTTTGTTGTCTTTTTTTTGAGACAGGTCTCACGATGTAGCTCAGGCTGGCCTTGAGCTCGCTTTGTAGCCCCGGCTGGCCTTGAATCCCCCGAGATCCTCCTGCCCCAAGTGCTGGGATCACAGGTGTGTGCCACCGTGCCCCGCCTCACCACAACTCTCCAAGTAGGGATTTCCGCTGTCCGCCTTCTACAGGCACAGTACACAGGGGCGAGGAGCTTGTGCGTCTCAGCTCTCTGCATCCAGTCGTTGGAGGGCAGGTCACCTTCCGGCCATAGTTCTAAAACATGGACCTGTCGCTGTCCTGCCCGCCCTCTGGGGAGAGGGATGGCATTTGTGCACAGAGGGTGAAGGCCTTTTCTGTCCAGCGCCTTTCTCACTGGGAAGCTCCACAATCCAGCCAAAGACTGCTCAGGTTCCCACCCCACCCCACACTTCATGGGGCTGTGCCTGCCGAGCCGCAGGGCTCACCCTCTGCTCCCAGGGACCAGCTCTGAACCCTGTGCCAGCAGCTCTGAAAGGGGGGCTGGCTACCAGTCACTTCTCGGTCACACAATCCACTCCAAGATTCAAAACTTAATAGGCAGGGGTGGAATAAATGTTTAGTATTTATTTATGTCGTACTGGGGCTTGAACCCGGGGCCTTTGCGCTAAGCTACATCCAAAGCCCTTTTCTTTTTTTTTTTTTTTTTTTTTTTTTTCTCTTTTTTAAGTCTCTCTCTCTCTCTCTTTTTTTTTTTTTTTTTTTTTTTTTGAGTTTTGAGACAGGGACTCTCTAAGTTGCCCAGGCTGGGCTTGAACTTGTGATCCTCCTGTCTCAGAGGGCTGAGATGATATCCATGCGCTGCCATGCCCGGCAGATTTTATTAACTTTTATAGAAACTCCCTTAGATTATTCTGAAGTAAGGCAGGTGCGTTTTGGTAATTAGGCATGTGCCACCGTGGTTCCTTCTGTGTAATCCCCTTTACCGCTATTTACTTTTTACCTTCATTCACACTTATCCGGTCAGCGGATGCGCGTCGGGGTTCCTACGTGGCGGGTGCTGGTGTGGACCCTAGCGGCTTTTCTGCTCACGGTTGGCATTTCACTGTGCGTTTTCCTATTCTTCGGGAGCACTGTCACCATCATTAGGAATGCCTCCGCCGCGCGGGGACGCAGCCCAGAGCTTGCACGCCTGGCCGGCCGCTGCCCCTGAGCTACACACGCAGCCTTCCACGTGTCACGTTCTGGGGAGAAACCTAAGCGAGCGTCCCGCGACTAGGGAGCGCGAAGGCGGCCCCGCCCTGCCGCGGGCTCCGGCTCGGCTCGCTCGGGCGGCCTCCGGCCGCTGGG